ATGAAGGTGTCCCGTATTAAATATATTTCAGGTGTGATTTTTGTTGGGTTGGGAGTAAATATAAATTGCTGTAAGTCACTTTTTTTGGGAGCAATGCATTTGCAATTATTATATTCTTCAATGTATGTCATATAAACCTTGAATAATGTTGTGGCATCTGGCTATCTGCCTGTGAAAAATATTTTGAAATATTTGGTTTTTGTGTTTCTGGCCACACTGAACTACAAAAGTGTTCATTTTTAGGTCTCCTAGATATTGAAAGGGAGGCAACTCTGCAAGGAATATCTACGTAACTTACAGAGTTACATCTCTTCTCAAATTCATATTCATATAAACGACTAAAATTAAAAAAATTATTGCTAATCTTGTTTTTAAAGAAATATAATATAATACAATAGTTCACTCAGCATTAAACATTTTACAATGGTTTAGCATGCGCCAGTATACATGTACAAAGGGGACGTGGTTAATTAACAGAAGAGTCTTTGCATGATTATCAATATTTATTAATACTTGAAGATAATGTACTTTTAAATGCATGGAGAAGGATTGATCATCTTCCCTCTGAATATATTTTCCGGTTTCAATACTAAAGTTATATATATGACAAGGTTCAGAATCTAGTAAATGCTATTCGGTGTTTATTTTCAAAAAGTGATATTTAAGGTATTTCTTAACCTCAAACTCATGTCTAAATGTCTAGTCCGCATTTCGATTCGAATTTATACATAAGAACAAAGTTTGAACTTAGACTTATTAATTTGAAAGCCAAATAGGTTTTTTTTTAGATTTTAAGTGTTTGCCTGACCAGGACGTTATGGAACCCCTTCAAAAGTAACTTTCCTCATTTGTGTATAAAAATAAATGTTTCAAATTTGATTGCATTATTTTCGGCAAACCATTATTTATTGTTCATTATTGTTGTTATTTTGTATTGTTGATTTTCCTGAATAAATAAAGTTGAGTGCGTTTATTATGCGCTCGTTTTATGTAAATAAAATGGTCAAGGTTTATAACTTCAATATTTGTCCTATGTTTGCCCACTTTGTGTAAAACCTTGGCAGACAGAAAACGCTAGGCGTTAACATTAGAAACAAATTTGCAATTCTCAGAGAGATAGAAAAATAAGTACAAAAAGTAAACCTACATGTATGCGTCTTAAAGCGGCAAAACCGGAAGCAGCATATGACTTCAAAATAGATAATGTTACAAGAATGGTGCTTATAAACTAGTATCGTATTGTAATTAATATTAATATTTTTTGAAAACATACATACATAACTCTGAATTTGTAAGTACGAGTATATAAACGTATAATTTGACTATAAATTAATGGTAAGAATAAGTAACAGTTATATCTTCAAATCGTCGAACATGTAAACTTTTTATTATCTATATGATACTGTTTTTCTTATACATGTATTGTTTATAAGAATCCTCGGATAAAGCCAAACTAAATGCCATTTTTTCCGAACGAGGAACTTGTTACCAAGTTTCACTGTATGAACAAACATAGTATGAATTTAGACAGGCGGTAAAAACGGTAACTTTGTTTCTTCACGCGTTGTACCAATATCCTTTAAATCTTTAGGACCGACAATCGTCCAATACATATTACATATTATTTTGACCCCCTTCTCTATAATGTTATAATGACCCCATCCTCTAGTGCACATACAAACAATGCTGAAATCACCTGCATTTGTATATGTCCATGTTTATAAAATACTACCATATGTGACTTCAGATCACATTATTCTAGTATTTATTCTATTACAGATTTAGTTCCCATCAACATCAATTGTTGGCTTCATTTAGTCATAATAGATAAAAATGTAAGGAAGTAAATAGAGAATACAACAAATAACAGTTAAGAAATTACAGAATAGTATAATACAAATACAAATTATATAGACCTTTAACTATAGAGCTTTCTCCTTGGCGATATAACTACCTCCTTCACGACAGAGCAGTCTCGAAGATTTAGTATCATATACATAACTTATTAAATTCAAAAACTAAATTTTGGTTCAGATTTAGATTTTAATTGCATTCTAGTATTCGTTTATAGTCTATGTTGCTGTTAAATGAGTCATAAGCAATCCTTTCATGATTAAAAAAAGTCCATTTCAACGCTAAATTTGTTAACTGGGATATGCTGGCACAACTATGGTTTAAATAAAAATTATTAATTTGCATACCCTTGAAATTTAATCAAATCTACATGATATAGCATTTTACAGAGGTAGCTGTGTTACACCAGGCGTGAAATCTACAATATCTACAATATCCTGTTTGAAGCCAATTAGAATAACACATGTTCCAAACGAGATTTTGTAATAATCTCTTATGCTGCACTTTTCATTTCAAACATATATATATATATATATATAGTATATATATATATATATATATATAATATATATATATATATATATATATATTATATATTATATATATATATATATATATTTATGTTATATGAGTTTGACAGTTGGCACCAAACAAGTAAGAAACTTTGGATATATTTTGTGAAAAATTTAAATGTATGACAGACAGTTTGTTGGACATTTTTGAAAATGCCGTTGATTGCACTGTATGTTAGTGATATTTTTTTAAAGGAATCGGGCGAATTTTGGAGCATCCTACACCTTTATCAAGATGTCCCATATGAGTATATTTAAATTTAAATTAGCGTTTTTGCTTATATACGGCAACTTAGAGATTTTTCTTGTACTCTATATATTTACAGCAAACATTTACATTTTCGCGAAGGTACTTTATCTATTAAAATGAAATGAAAAAAAGGGCGACAAAAAAGATAATTTAAAATCTAGCATGTCAACAGGCGATATCTTAAATGGCCCACAAACGACACCGTATCAATTATTTCTTTCCCATGCTTGTAACTACGGAATGTTGTTTTGGATAGTTCATCTTTAATTTACAAAACAAAGTTATTGACGTTAATTTAGACGTATTATAGATTTAAATGCAGAAGTGCATTCTATTCTTTTGAAATCGAACACTATTTCTTCACCACCAACAAAGCATATAAGATCTCTCTTGTAATTATTCAATTATGATGTGTTCTCAAATATCCTCATTTTTCCTAAATTTGTAAATGAATGTTTCTTAAATTAATGTATGTCTTTTATTGTTCACAATGAAGTCAAAGTTCTTTAAAATAGCCGTTATTTAGACGCTTATCTTTTTATCTTTATTGACCATGTGTGGCAGGATATTGAGGTATAATGTATACATATTCATTGAACTTTGATCTCTTTCATCTGACTTTACACCGAACGCCAATGTTATGATGTGCTTTTGGTTAGGTTTACGTTGGAAAAACACAGTTAAAGTCATAAAGTGACTTTTCAGCTTTACTAGTGAAAAAAAACCTCAAGTGTCCATCGACGCATTATTTCAGGCATGTACCGGTACCAGAGAAAAACCACCGATGTTCCATAAGCTAAATGTATTGAATTGTCACAGAATCCAAAGTCCCTAAATGATCCGAACCTTAGATGTTTTGAACCAATAACGGTGAGGAGCAAGTGGTTTGCTTTGAATGACCTTAATCACTCGGCCACAGATGCCCCTATATTGTGATGGTCACACGATAAAAGATCCGAATTGCTTGTATACTCAAAGAATGTACCTAAAGCCAGCGCAAGGATTATCATTGCAATAGAAAGTAAGACCTGTACTTATAAGAAATAAGACGGCAATAAATTTACGAAAATCTTAAATTTAACTCTTTATGTCATAAAAAGTTTAAAACAAAATCAATTATTGATATGAACAAATTACATGTAGTATCATATCATCACTGCAAGAACATACGAATATATTGTGTCCTTAAATTCTATTCTTTTGACGTGTGTATTATTACTTACCCCATACAATAGCGATAAACAGCGTAAACGGTAGAATTAACCCATCCATATTACTTCATTTATTGTGATCCGCTTTTAAAATGTCTTTACATATTTAAACCAGGAAGTTTTGTAATGGTAAGGAGATGTTGTAATTTATGTATAAGTGATTTCAATAACCATAAAATCGGAATAAATACAGCGATATTTTATATTTTGTAAACATCGTTAAAGTTACAGCTAACAAATATTGAATGTCCTTGAACATTTAAACTATTACTAACTGTGTCGGAAAAACATATCAACATAATCACGTTTACATCAGTGAAGAGAGGAAAGTTAAAGCTATAAAATCAATTTTATCTTTACAAGTATGAAAGTGAATTTTAAAACTAATTGTTAAGTGTATGTGCATATTTCCTTCCTTTAATTTGTATAGTATTAAAATCAACGTAAATTGCCGAGTTTGGACAAAAAACTTTCTTTATGTTTTCTGCTTATTGTTAGTAATCACTTTATCTTATATCTAACAATTGCTTCTTCATATATCTAACAATTACTTTTTTACATCTAGTAATTAATTCACGTTTTATCTACTAATTTCTTTACCTTAGATATACTTATTACTTCATGTCATATCTATTGATTTCTTCGTCTTATTTCATCTAGTATCTTATATTTACTTCATCTTTAATCTTAAAATTACTTCAATTTATTTTAGTAATTATTTCATCTTATATCTAATAACTACTTCTAATAACTTATAATTACTTCATTCTTAGGAATAAATTTTACAATGACTTGTCTGCTAACATTTAATATTTAATATGGTTAGTTATTGATTGACTAACTGACCAGATGGTTGGATAACTGATTGCTGACTGGCTGATTTGATTGCTTGGTTTATTTATTAATCAATCGACCGACCTTGAGCATGTCTTGAGCATATTTTTCTTTGCCCTATTTCATGAATTCAATGTACCTCATAACTAAAAACTATATTTCTTAATCCAATACACATTACTTTCCTAGATTATTTGATAACAGTTACTCAAATTCTTTTTTTTTCTAAATTACAATGGACCTCCTGGTAAAATCATATCCATAAATAAAAAAAGTATGTCAACCGATGAAACGTATGATTTATTTAAAAGCAAATTACATAACAAATCGCCAGAATGTCGTCAAGTTTATAAACTATTACTACGATTTTATAGTAGAACATGCGATATGAGGTCATTATACATTTATGAGTACAATATTGAATTTTATTGAACGAGTATACAGCTGTCAAAACTATATTGGATAAGTCGCTTTCGGTAGTGTAATACTATTGACATTTTACACGGTCCATACACTTTAATAGTATTAAATATCCAAAATATTTAAAATAGTCTATGTATATCAAACAAAGTATTTTGTACGCTAAAAAGGTTAGATATCTTGTTTTTCTAATGTGAAATATTCATGCCCCGTTTCTGCCTCAGGCATTTCGTTAGTCTCCGCGGACACGTCTTCAACAACTTTAAACAATGTTGAACTGGGTGCTGGATTTGTGTCTGGTTCTAAAATAAGATAATTATGTGTTGTACCGACAGCCGTTTCGTAACCTTTACCTGCATTATGAGCTTCGTTAAAAGCAGTTTTCTTTTTTGTCACCTTTGCGTACTCGGGTGCTTCACTTCTAGTTTGCAGATTATCAAAATCTTTTGCGAATTCATATCCTGTATTTGATGGAAGATCCTTAGCAGATAGCTGTCGAATGTTGCTATTCTTATTTGTCATTCCATCTTCACATTGGTGTTCCGGTTTTTCGGTAGACGTTCCGGGTGTTCGCATATTTGTGTTCAGATGAGAATAATTATCAGCCTCGTTTTCAGGGTCGTGGCGTCCAGCATGAGCATGGCTGTACTCAGTGTCTGAGCTTTCTGTATCTTGACATCTTCTTTGAGGTAATGTTGTTGTGTTAAACTTGTTATACGTATCATCACCATTGATAGTTATTTCAGGTTTCTGTGTCACATTCTCCAATTGTGTATGAGAGTATGTATTATCAGCGTGAGTATTATTTCGCATACTGTTTAAACCGATATGAGAGTAGTTTGTATCAATAAATTCCGTCTCTGATAATTTGAAGTTATCATACGATTTCTTCGCGCCAGTCTTGTCTTCAGGTAAAATGTCTATTGTTTGATAAGTATCTCCTACGGTTTCATCTGAATTAATTATGTCTAAAGGTATTTCTGCGTACTCATTCACTCTTGATTGACGCACATTCATTAAAGAACAATTTCTGTCTATGGCATTCGCTCCGTATACTTGGTTTGTTATTAAAGAGCCAGGTTCGCGCCTTTCAAATAAAGCTGTAGGTTTATGATTCCTTCTTCTGTAAAAAAACAAGGATTAAAATTCAGTTTTAAGATAAAATAAATAGCTTCAATCAAAAGACTAATATGGAATTCAAATAAAAATGAATTTTTAAGAACTGAAATAAACAAATATGTACGTTCCTATGTTTACGACATATAAATCAGAGATGACATCTTATATTGATAAACGCATGTTTAGCGCTAAAATTACTTTTGACCTTAACTTGTTAATTCTGTGTGGTCAATGTGTACAATTATTTTTATAGAATAATATAAGTTATTTATAGAACTTTATATCGGATACCGTCCCTGAAAGCGATGATTGACTGCTAGGCATAGACTTTACGAGTCCAAAAAAGATGCATTTACAACATGCTATTCTTACAAACATCAATAAAAATAATGACTGTAAACTTATACATTTCACCAATAAACAATAGATAAACCTCAACATCTCTAAATGCATAATGTCGCTTATCGTTCATAATTTTTATGGATAAGAAATAAACTTAGAATTATGACGGTTATTTAGGTCTTTCGAAAATAAGATAAACGCATCCCGCGATATAACTAGTGGTATACACGATATAACAATTGGTTAATATAGATCTACATTTTATCGAACTTCAGAAAAGTTATATCGATCGAGGACCTGTGGAGGAATCTCGGTTGTTATAACTTTTCTCAGGTCCAAAATGTTCTATATTGGCCGAAAACGAAGTTTCTAATTTTAAAATAATTAATTGTTTGATGATATAATGGATGATATAATAAATGAAAAGTTTTAGATAATAAATTTATACAACAATTTATGAATTTAAAACAATACCTACCTCCACCATAAGATACCAACTCCTAATAACAATGCAATAGCACATATAACCACTGGAACAGCAACATATACAGCGTTTATATCTGAAAATAAATGTGCTTAAGCAAATATATGGTTTACAACTGTAATCGTCCACATGTAGCAAAACAAATAGGAAATGTCATGTTCACGACAGTTGAATAATCTTTAAGAGAGAGTATTATTTATACAATTACCTGTTTTCTGATGTTTTTTTGGGGCGTGGGCAGGTTATGAATGGGACAACTAACAAGTTGTCATTTATGTATTCCTAGTGTAGCAAATAACTTTATTTCTCGTGATCATATGACGAAATTTTGTATTGAACAACATTGACGTCTAACACTAGTATGCTATTCATGTAGAAGTTACTATCATTAAGTTTTAAAGAGACTAAGAGATAACAGCTTTTGAAGTACTTATATATATATATATATATATATATATATATATATATATATATATATATATATATATATATATATATATATATATATACAGCTTACAAATTCTATAGAAGCATTGCGTAATTTGGATACATATTTGCAGCCTCTTAAAATGAAATATATCACAAGTTTAGTGAATCTTTCTATTGTACACTCAAATGTAGAATACATTTAAAAGAAAATAATATCGTTATCTTTACCAAGAGAACACTCAATTGTGAACAGTTAAAGTATAACACACTTGAAAAAGTAAGTGTGTTTGTACCAGAATAGAACAGAAGTTTTAAAGAAATGTACATACCTGCATCTTTTACTTCACGTGATTGAGCTGGGTCTGGTGTTACTGGAAGGGGAAACATTTGTAAGTCATAAATAATTCATGTGTTATAAGAAAGAAATAGATTGATTATATAGCACATTATTGAAAGTTGATCCCATTATATGCTTGAACAATGTTATGTTTTGATTGAGAACTTCCTAGAAAAAAAATCATAGAAAAAAAGATCAAATTAAAAATTTAAAGTATTTTTCAAAGACCAAAAGGCGATTATAATATTTCTTTTTCATATTTATTTTGTTATAAAATACGCTATGTAAAACATACGTTTTAGTTAGAACTATAGTTGTCTGATAAAAACGTTGCCAGGGAATTGAAAAAAATACTTGATATCTTATATTAGATTTTTATGGTTATGATATCACATTATGTCTAGAAAACCTTTAAATTTTATGGAAGAAAATAAATGAATAATTGCATTTTTAATAATAAATATGAAAGTTTTTCAACCATAACATCATAAACATAGTATGTCTGGTCTGATAAAATTTACCATTTTATACAGTATTTTAAACTTTATGATAATTAAATCTTCAATTTCAAATATTCACACCAAAGGACGGACGTTCTTACAAGCCAGATATAATGCTTTATCCACTGATAGAATAGTAACGCCATTTCAATCCTACATGTACCTATTGAAAGGGCGACAAAAGACAATATTTGTAGAGTGTCTGCGAAATGCAATGTTAACTGAATATAAAAAATGAATATAAAAAAGAAAACACATGTAGTACCTATGACTGCAGAAGCAGTTATTGTTGATGAGCGTACTGAGGAATGTCTGACAGAGGTTGTAGCTTGGTTGACAGTTGATGGTTCTATCTGAACATCGGTGCTGCTTGTCATTGTTTCTGTGTGAGACATCATTGTGTGTGTAGTCAATTGAGGCGTTTCTATATCATCTTTTAAGCCGATGGTATTGTATAAAAATGTAACAAATCATTTATAACATAATATAAAATAATCGCGTTTTGCCTTCAAACAAAGTAGATCTATTAAGTTTGAAATTATACACACTATACTATAGGTGTTCGTTGCTTGCCATAAATAGTTTATTCATTCTGTCATTCAAATTAGACATATTCAGTAAGAATTTCATAGATTAAAAAAAACGTCTTTAATTAAACTATTCTATTTAAGGGGATGAGCATAGCATATCTTTAAGATAAGGGGGATGGGAAACCACCGAAATTATTACATATTAATTGAATTTCTTCTTATTACAACACAATTTATCTAAAAAATTATTAGCTCGATGAAAAATCTCAAGCAAAATTAAGTATACAAATATATATTTGATCATTTTCTTTGTAAAATAAAAATATGTAAATATGATGTACCTGAATTTATGACTGTCGGAAACATGGTACTCTCCGACGACAAAATTTTCAATGTGAACAAACTTGTCGGAGTCGATGCTATAACAAATGATGTTATAAAGAAATGGGTTTGTACGTTAATCATAGTTAATAGAAATAAAAAATACAATGCAACTTTAATCTATGGCTTTCATGCCTGATGGCTTTTATGCCTGATATTACCAAGTTGAATGCCTGATTATATAGATCATTTTCTTCCTTACAAAGTAAATACTTGTATAAATAAATAACCAAAAATAGACCACATTTGAATAAATTATGAAGATAAAATATGTTGTTGTTGATTTTTTTATGTTCTTACATATCTATTATTCTTATATACATACTTCTTTTATTGACTGTCATGTCTATTAAACTATCCTAACTTTATTAATTTAAGATTTTTAACGAAATCGTCAATGACAATCTTATAAGGATAACCAGTTTAATACCTACGCAATTAGGAAGTTTAAAGTATATTTTAAAACCTTAAGCATTCTATGTGATGTTACCTTCTAAATTGTATGTTGGTTTTATATTAAAAAAAAAAATGTTTCAATCAATAATTTTACTATCAAGTTTTGCTTTATAACTTTTATCGATACCCTTTATGTGGAAGTAAAAGAAGATAGAGGTAAAAATTGAATACCTAAAATAGTTTGAAATTCATGTCACGATTTTTTTTTCTCTTTATTATTTGTCACTCTCACTTCGCGTGTTGAAGATACATTCTGAAGTTTTCCCTTTACTCACAGATATTCCAAGTTACATTATACAAAAACTGCAAGAATTTATTAAATGGTTGTTACTCTTCGGTCTAAATCAAAATATGAATATGTATGCTGGTATGTGACTATATTATGTTTCATTGCGTTTACTATCTTAACGCTCGATATCTACAATAGTTAAACATTCCGCCCTTATAAGGAAATACCTGTTAAAAGACACGTTGCTGTTGCTTTTGGTGTCCAGTAATAGTTATTACTATCCTTATTACACGTAAATGTAGTTGCTGAATCAAAGGAATACAAGGCATCACAAGAAATGGTTGCCAACTTAGTATGAGAGCCAGAATAACATGCTGTCCCACTTATTACCTGGAGCGCCAGTTTGCATTGTCCGGCTGTAAGAAATTAATTAATTGCGTAAAAAAGATAACAAAACTAAACTTATCTAAAAATTACTATGTAAAACTTGTATTATTTAGCAATATAAAGTTGGAATATATTTAGTAAAGTACAAGTCAGATGGATGAAATGGTGTGGTTTTTATAATATATCTTAATCATATCAAAGAATAAAATTGACTAAATTGTGGAGACTGATATCTGCAGGTGTCTAAATGGTGTTTTGGCACTTTACAAATGGCGTACAAACGACATTAAGTTAAGACAATATCAGTGGAAACGGTGCGCCTTAAGTGATCTTGAACTAGGCGATTGCTTTTATATATAGCCAGGAAAGGATGTTTTCACTATAAAAACCAGGTCATCGACATTAGCGGTGGTCCGTTGGTCCGAGACCACCTGATTTTGGCAAGGACCACGTAATTTTAAAAGACACTGGTCCGTCGGACCAGTTGAATTATCTGGTTGGTGCAAGGCTCATTTGAGTATAGTTATATCTAACGTTGGTATTATTATTTTTTTATCCTTTAGTTATTTATTTGTTTTTAAAGACAAGAATTAGATAATTTAATAGCTTTATTAAAAATGTTAATCTATAAAAGATAATTGATCAGGATTATAAGAGTTAGACGTACCATGTATCAGCAATGAGTATTTGAATAACAGTAAGAAAATAAGACAGACACAAAATTAATGGTTTCACTATTCCCTAACTTATATTGAGGGAGTAGTCGTTTCAATATAAAAATAACATAAATACGAACCCTATTATGTGTTTTTGAATGAGATAAAAAAAACAGATAACTTTACTTTACTGACTTGCACTCCTACATTTCTATTTAGATGAAAAAATATATATTTAAATATATCTGTTTTCTTTACTGTAAAAGGTAATTATACATCTTTGTCATCAATTCAAAGCATTTTTTTTCTAAATCTGCAGTCAAAGAGTCAAAATTAAAAAAAAATCAAATAATAATATGGTTATAATAACTGACCACCTGACTTCCGGAAGGACCACCTAAATTTCAAATCTAGTGGTCCGGCTTACCACCTGCCAAAAAAGTTAGTGTCGAGGCCTGAAAACCATGTCATAACTGTTTTGCTAAGAATAGTTTTTGAAATAAATGTTGTACCACCGTATTTTTTTTATAATTTCTGAGATATTTCTGATCGTTGAAATTGAAATAGACATTTTTTTCACCATTATTTCAACCCCCTTATGTTATATCAAGGGTATATATTTTGCAATTTGGCTGTTTCCATTCTCTCAACTATACCACCGTTTTCACAAACTCATGGCTATATTCAAAACAAAACAATACAATATCATTATCAATTATGGAAAACTTAACTTTTAAAGAGTAAGTATGTAAAAAAGGGCTTTACCTATATTTTAAAAATTTATAAAAAATATTATAAAAATTGATTAGAGGTTACTGTCGTATTTTTCTTACAATTGTTTCCGCTAAACATTAACTCTTCTTTTTGGAGTTTAAGGTCATATCAACACACTAAAGGTCATATGGCGACTTTCCAACCTTCTGGTAAAGTAAGACCTTATGTCCTTACGTGCATTATTATAGGCACGTACGGGCACCCGCGTAGAACCACCGATGTTCCGTAAGCAAGCTGAATAGCTTCCCCACATGGAAGAATCAAAAGACACTGTGTTGAGGTATAAGTGATGTGATGTCAATTACTGTTTAAAACAGTGTATAATAAGTGTTAACTTACTGTTTGGGGGTACAGTGTTACAAGCCGCCTCCACATGATTATCTGTCTCTGAATAAGAAAGATACATTTATTTTCATTTTGTTTATGGCTTGAATCAACTCCACTATAATCAAAGGTTGACATTTTTATGATACTTTACATCCCTCTGCTATAGACTAGAGACTGAAGGTTTTCAACTACGCGGTAATTCATCTGAAATTTTATTTTAGAAATACTTCCATGTCATGTCAAATTCCTTAATCCGTAACGATAGAAGTTCTTTAAGACTTAAAATATACTTGTCATAAAAATGATTCAAATCGTTGTTTGTATTATTAAATATTCTATCAATCTTGTAAATCACTGATATAATCTTTACATTAAAATATAATTTATGTTTGCACCCCCCCCCCCCCTAAAAGAAAATAAATTTTAAAGATTTTTTAAAAAGTGTACCTACCCAAACTGGCAATAATTGTCACAAAAGTAAAATATAATAAAACATCCATATTTGTTCACTTGTTTGCTTACATTCCGATTGAAATATCTAATACGGAAGTTAAAATTGGAAAAACATGTATCGTATTTTATTCATGAGTGTCATGTGCAAATATAAATTGCTTTTAAACAGCCCAGTTAACACTAGTTTACATAGGTTATTTAAAATGTAAAAGATTTGTCATGCGTATAAAGCTATACATATCAGCTGCTTGTAGTTTTGAAAATAATAATCCCAAAATGCGAGTATATATGAAATATGATAGATATGCTTCAGTTTGAGAAAATTACACATGTTCCTGTTCCACTGTGTCAAATAATAGAGATAATTCTATGATAATGGACTATGATACGTATTATAAACACAACATTTTTTCCGCTTTTAAATTTTTAACCAGGTTTTCATCGAAAACCGGGTTATTGTAAATGCCGAAGTCGGCGGGCGGGCGGGCGGGCAGGCGTTCGGGCGTCAACTTTTGGTTTCCGCTCAATAACTTGAGTTTGCTTTGGCCTATTGACACCAAACTTGGTGTATGCATAGCTTATATCAAGAGGCAGCTTGGGATTGCTACCCAGGTGTCTGTAATTAAGGTCAAGGTCACTGTTACTAAAAAAAGAAATTCAGTATCCACTCAATAACTTTAGTTTGCTTTGGTCTTTTGATACCAAACTGGGTGTTTGTATAGCTTATATAAAAGAGGCAGCTTGGGATTGCTACCCAGGTGTCTGTGATCAAGGTCAAGGTCACTGTTTCTAAAATCAGAAATTCTCTTTCCGCTCAATAACTTAAGTTTGCTTTGGCCTATTGACACCAAGCTTGGTGTATGGATAGCTTATATAAAGAGGCAGCTTGGGATTGCTACCCAGGTGTTTGTTATCAAGGTCAAGGTCACTGTGACTAAAAATAGAAATTCAGTTTCTGCTCAATAACTTGAGTTTGCATTGACCTATTGACACTAAACTTGATGAATGAGTAGCTTATATCAAGAGGCAGCTTTGGATTGCTACCCTGGTGTCTGTGATCAAGGTTAATGTATTTAGTTTTCATGTTATAATTGAGTTTGATTTGACCTTTTGACACCATACTTTCTGAGTGGCAGCTTTGGATTGCCACTTAGATATCTGGGAGCAAAGTCAAGGTCATTTGCTTACAATAGAATTTGCAGCTTCTACTCAATAACTTCAGCGCACTTTGACCTATTGATTGCTGTCACATCAAAACTTGGTCGTTGAAAACCTGGTTTTCGTCGCATTGCGGTGCTTCTTGTATTATAATATTACATTACATACAGCTTTATAAATTTTAACAATTTTACAAAAATAAGTTCATGAATTATAGTTCGTTCTCCAACGTTCAAGTATTAATTTAACATAATGTAAGAAAATGTATACAATGTAGGAAATATTCATTATGAATAAACATTTATATTTAAAAACAAAAGTTCCATAAAATTACGTGTGTATATTATAAATATTATAAATAAAACAATTCTTACTTTTGTTGCGCAAGAACCTAACAAAATGTCTTGTTTCTGTTTTTTCGTGTTAACAATTTGTTGTCGTTATTATTTTAAAATAGCTGACGTTACTAAAATTTAGTAGACACGACAACAAACATCTTATCTCTAAGCAAGAAAAACGACAAAGTGATAATGTTAACGAATCAGAGCTTATATTGACAAGAAAATGTATGTTTTCTGACTTATTTCGCCAAGTGTCTCATTTCATCCAATATAATTTGTTAGCTTTAACATGCCCGACAGTTAGCAGTCTTCTCGAGATGTAGGCTTTAAAAGCATAACCTTGGTTTCACCCGAATATTGTAGTCAGACGAATTCCCACAAACCCTCGAAGTACATGTATATCGTAACCGTCGGATAAGCTCAATAGATAGAGCGTTGGACTGTGATTCGGGCGACCCGCGTTCAATTCCCGGAGGGTGCAGGTCACTTTCGTTGTGATTGATCATGAAATATTTTCTACTGTCATTCGCACTGTACCTCTGCTCTAGTATGTACAGAAGTATAATCAGTTTCTTGCGAAAGTGAAAGCAACTAGTACTGGTAAACTACTTGACAGCCGGCCGATGGCTGAACTGTACTCTGGTGAATACAAGGTGGCTTACTGCCGTGATCCGGAATGAATACTACCAACATCACCACATGCATATAGTAGTACTGCTGCCGTCGTCGCAGTTAACTGATGTGTAGATGTGTTACTAGATGACTGGTTAAAGCACACACTGTATTTACTACGTTCTCCAAAAACTGAACAATTAAGGATTTGTTGTTTTTTTATACCAAGTACATACTGGATTTTATCAATATGATTTTACTCGTTTAAGTATATCCTTTCCAAAAGAAACCCATATTTAAGTAACAGTTCAAACTTACTGCTGGGACTAGGCAACAGTTTGTTAAGATCAAAACATTTTTACTCAGGTACCCGTTCGTGCCTGAAATAATGCACGGAAGGGCACCTGAGGTCTTCCTCCACCAGTAAAGCTGGAACGTCGCGATATGACCTATACTGTGTCGATGTGAAGTAAAACCCAAAACAAACAAACAAACAAAACATTTTTAGATTTTATTTATAAATAACATAATCCACAGGTAGTGATAAGGGGAGATAATGGCTCTCCTTTCTCTTATCCAAGAGTTATGTCGAACACGTCTGACATATTCATAGAAGCATTCATTTTTACACAACACACTACAGACGAACAACCGCTTTTAACATATTAAGCTTTACAAATAATATAAGTATTAAACAGTTGCATCCAAAACGCACTTCCTAGTACCGTGTGTTAATCAGTTAAAATACATTAGAATTTTTATTCAGTTGATATTTAGGCGTGCAGAATAAAATAGCACAAGAGGTTGATATTGAATCTCTGAAGCCAAACTGTATGTCATTAAAATTTCTTTCTGACTCATCCATTTATTAATAATATTGCGTATTGAAAAAATTAGAAATATGTCGTTTTTGTTAACGCAACGATTGCCCCCCTCATGCAGCCAACATTTCAAATGTTACTATAAATAACATTTAGTGTTAAATTTGTTTGCACAAAAGATGTTTTTTATTCTAAGTTTAAGGCCTATTCAATCTTAACATTTTCAGGTCGTTCTATGCATCGATGTGTTTTTAAAACACCGTGTTTGGCAATTGTTTTGCGAAATTGTTTGTAAAGATGTTTGGTCATGTATTACTTAAGCTAGGTGGTTAAAGTATAGGACTTGTGAGTCTTGGTCTTTTGTTCATAACAACAGAATTAAGTTGTTATAACCCTTCTAATTAATTATTAAAAAATTGCAAACATTTTGCGTATTTTCTTCTTTTTTGTTCATTCATTTTCATATCTTTCATAATCAAGTACTTTTTTGTTTTTTCAATGTTCAAGGGGCATATTTCTGGCAAAACTCATCGAACCAAAGTCGAATTTGACCTACGCATTCTTTTGACGTATCCATACGTCAAGTTTGAATGAATATACACAAATGTTGGGAAGATAATGTACGAAACGGAATTTTTGTTATTTGTTTTCCAAAGTTGAAGAGGCAGAACTCTGCCAGAAATCATCCAACCATGACCAAATTTAACGTTTTCCTATCACGTATTCATATCTGTTGGGGGAGATAATGAACGGAAACGGAAACTTTCTTCAAGGGGCATAACTATGTTAAAAGTTATTAGACCATGAACAAATTGAACTTGACCAGCCTTTTCTTATGATTTATTGATATGTCAAATTTGAGTTGAATGTCTTGCCAATATAATGAACGTTAACTTATTAAGACGAAATGACTGGAAGACGGAATGAGGAAACAGGGTAACGCTATGTGCGATTTTATGACGGGGGTATAAAGATATTTGCCATACAATTTATCGAGTTATTACCATCAATCTAACTAAAGTTCAGATCTACTTACTCACGTAAGCTATTTCTTGCATGTAGATTTAATTGCCACCGTATTTGTTCCGCCTTTATTGTGATGAAAGCTATTCTTAGCCATGCAATCAAAACGTCCTTCACAGATAGGCATTAGACGAAGCATAATAATATCGCTGTCCGTGGAAATAATATATAAAATAAACTACGAATAACATACTCAATATGTAGAAACCGCACCGCTTTTTCAAAATTGTGAAAGCTCGCCAATGATTGGCTGATTAAAAGGTCACGAGAAGGTGACCTCCTATTGGTGCCAGTCAGATCCTAATGCGTAAGGATTATCATGATCACCTTTCTTATTTATAAGGACGATAATCCCCATTTACCATGATTAAGTATAAACACCTGTTTTAAATAGGATATTTAAATAATACCTAAGTATTTGCTTCAAAAATATCTGTTTAGTGTCAATAAAAAGTCCGGCATTATATTTTTTATTAAACATTTATACATTTTGAGATTAAATCCGTAGAAATATTTTGTATCCAACTGCTCAACGTGTGTGGGTATATCATGTGACTGTGAAATATCGTCTGCATTAAAGCTAGTATGATGCGTATTCCAAATACGCAACCATTTTATATAAAGCATTTACATTTTGACAATTGTTGGCTTTTGGTTTACTTCTATACGAATCTATGTAAAAACAAAATTTGAAAGTAGATAATTTGCACACATCTTAGAGATTTGAATTCTCTTTAGACAAATAGGGATATTTTACACGCATCTTACATTCTAATTTCTGCTTGCCAAGAGTAATAACATACTTTAATATTGTACGTTACATTTGTTCGATTCTCGACGCGTTTTTTTCTTTCTTGGCAATTGATAACAAGAAATGAGTCTAATGGTCATTTGTTTTTCATTTCTGATTTAAAAACATTTGGATAAATAGTCCGTAACTTGCATCATTGCTTTCTAGATTATAGCAAGAGCACCGCTAGGCGGAGCATTATATGCCCGAAAGTGTTGTTGTTTTTTTCGTTAGTAAAGATGAAACATTTGTAAGACATGGGAATTAAATACAGTATTATCTCCTTCAAAAAGCAATCCTCCTTTATAGCTGAAAAACCTTCATATATGCACTGTTGCTGTATTCAAAGCACCACCATGAAGTTGTAGTTATGCTCCAGAAATACAAACTTTCAGTGTAAA